ATAATTACTTAAATGTCATGTTACCGAGTTAATCTGATACCCGGAAACCCTAATTTTACAAAAGTCAAGATGTCATCGCGACGTTTTTGTATTTTTATTTTACCTAGGATCTCATTAAAACTGGTTAATGTCAAAACGTCTCAACCAACAAGTGTTCGGCAATTATTTTTAGTGGGTTACAAGTTTCTGAAAAGTTATCAAGTCGTATACATCTATTATTGGCCCTCAAGAATGTAATCAAACCGATTTATTGTACATAACATGCCGGTTTTGTTTATAAAGTGCGTGAATTCATCTTGTTAGAACTGTAAAATATTTGTACTCGAGTGTTTAATACAAAACGCAATGTAATTTTAAAATGTGTCAACGGACTGTTATTTTCATATATCTTTTATTTGATTAGAATATTGTTATTGCCTTAGTCAGAAATTGTGCTGTACATTTGAATCGGTTTGACCTGAAACGTTTAAAACAAAGCCACTGTGATTTATCGTATTAACACTCTATGAAAGTAGGTAAAGTAACCTAACGTTAAACCTCAATATTTTGAACATGTTTTATGGGAATTTTTGCAATTTGACCGAAAGAAACGAATAAAAAAAAAGAAATATAATTGGTTACGCGTGCGGTTCTGCGGTAGGTTAATAATACATAATATAGTCGTACAATTCAATTTTAGTATTAGTGCATCGATTATTTTTGTAAGATTTTTTCTAGAAAAATAATCAACAAATTATAATTACTAAGACATTCGTTGTTATGCGGCGGGCAGTCGATGTCAACAAAAGAAAAATAATAATTTTTATTTGATTTTAAATATAAACTTTTTACGCTAAAAGCGCACACATGAACGAAAACGCCATGACCGCCGGCTGCTGCAGACAATGTCCGTGCGAAGAGCAACGCAAAATTTACATACAACCAAAAAGACCGGAAATGTGTCGACCCAGTGTGAACTATTGTCCGCAAAACATACCCGTCGAAAAGAATACAGTGTACAGGCACGTTCTAAAATATAAATTCGACCGGCACATCTTAGTATGTAGTTCTAAAAAAATATATTTGAGTCACGACCGAATGGCTGTTGTGTCGTTGTTACACCGGGCCCAGTATGTGTACATCGGACAAACTAGTCGAAGGGGTTATTGGACGCTTGTTCCTCGATTAATTCTTTTTTGATCGTATAATACTCACTAATCGTACGCAATATTTATGTTTAATTGACTTTCGTTGACATTGCGATGTCACTCCGAGTCTCGAGTCATCTACTAGTTTTATTAATTTCCCGGTACGTACAGGCCGCAATCAACTGTGAAAACTTATTATAAGATTCGAGACTGATCGAGTAACCAATTATTGAAACGCGGATTTTATATAGTTTTCAATAAATAAGAAATTTATATCGTGTGTTAATTGATTGAATTTTATACGTCATAAATTTCATTTCATTAACTATCAGTTATCAAAATTGAGAAATATTTTATTACACTCATAAACAAAACTGGTACGGGGATCAAACGTTTTGTCTCGGATAAAAACCAGAAATTAAATGAGCAGACATTCTCCATAGAACTAGAATCAATTTACCTTAAAGGATTCGCAGAATCAAATATTTTATGTATTTTGATTTCTCTGCAAAGATTGTTATTGAAATAGTCTCCAAGTGAAAAGTCTAAATAAGATATTACGCGTAAACAAATCAACACTTGAATTAAATGTTTTCTTTTATACAGAAAAAAATAAATTGTTTAATTTTATAGAAATTGTTGGTTACTGCGTAGCTTATATTTTGATTCAGTTCTTTTTTTAGTTTTAAATTTATTATGGTAACCCAGTTTGTAATTTACATAAACTTCCTTAACTTTTTAAAACTAATAAATAATATCTATGGTTTCTGTATAATTTCCATTTAAAAACAATTTTTCCACTTTTTTTACCGTTTCTAATATTACATTTGAATCTTTGCCAATTTCATGTATATTATTTTTATACGAATCCAAATATTAAGATTAAAAGTGTATTATTGTACTTATTTTAAGTGAATCTTCTCACATGATGGTTAGCAAATGTTTATTGAATTATTGCTCGCTCAATTCTGATAATCAGAAATATTTTGTTATATTTAAGAAATAGGACAAATTAGCATTATGGCATCATCATCATTGACACTTAACACGTTGTTCTTCGATACTCATTCTTAAGCTATTAACCTTATATTACTTAATAAAAACGATAATCGACTGTGAATATTTTTAAAATCCGTTATTCAACCACGTAGTACGTACTATTTATATAATAGTCATTAATATTTTTGCTATTGTGTAATGTACAGATGGTTTTGAGATGTGCCGGTTTTTTAATGTAATCTTTGCAAATTTACTTAAATTATAGTTAAATGTTTTTGAAATCTGTTAGACAGTCGTACAAAGAACCCGTGGGTATAAAAAATTACAAGACGACTCCTGTGCAATTTGCATCAACTTTTACAGCGGCTGGCGGTTTTGATGGGCAAACTGTTCACAAGACGAGTTTTCGGGGGGTGCCTTGCGTGGAACGGTCACAACCCCAAGTGCCAGTCGACCATGAACTATCCGGTGAAGGACCCATGCAAAATGTGACGTCGCAGAGACACGACTTTGTCCCAAAAAAGGCATTGCCACCAGTTCTCATACCGAATCGGTCCTCGATAGAACAGAAACGGTGCCCGATGGAAGCGACCACTACTACAGGCATGTCGTTCCTATCGCTACCGGTCCAGCGACCCGTCACGAATCTTATACGGCCGGCAACGTGTTACGTACCTCCCAAAGGTCCTATGGACGCCGAAACCATAACAAGTACGAGCTACAAGCCATGGCCGAAGACTAACCGTACGCTTCCTATCTCCGCGGCAAACTCTCCATATTGCCGAGCCAAGGAGCCCATTGAAGACTGTACCGTGTATAATCGAAGTTATCAGCCGCCTGGCCAATTTCGCGATCCTCTTCCCGGCGAGACCGCAAGCCCTGAACAATACCAAAGAAACTACTGTACCTCCCACGGTACTGAACAGAACCCTGTTTATCCTAGAGCTCACGATTACAATTTATAATTGAGCAGATAACATATTTATTATTAATTACACCAGTTTTAAAAACGAGTATTACTACCAATGTATTGTTTTCTTTGTCTGATATATTTTTTAAACGTTGGTCAAATTGAACGCAAACGTTGAGAAATAAGATAAGTAGCAATTATAATTTGACCGTACAATATGTACATATAAATAAATACAATAAAAAATATGTAGCTTGGCGGCAATTTACGACAAAATACTGGTGGCGCTATGCAGGTACTTATTGAAAAAAAACCTTGTAACTTTTAATAAACACTACCTGTTATGATTAGACTTAGTGATCACCTCGCAGTCGGTTCATCTCTGCAGGATATGACACGGTGTTTTGATTAGATTAATAAAACGATGAGTTGCGCTCGCGAAAAGATAAATTTCTTCTTTTTATTCTTCCTAACAAAATCACGTAACAATCTCTGTGTTGTGTTTTATTTCCATCGTCAAGTTGATGTTTAACCATCTAATATTATTGTAAGCTCGTGAAATGTTCTCGTATTTGTACATGCGGCACGGGAGGTCCGTGTACCGTAAGCATCTGTACAATACGTGATGAGTAACTGAAAATCTCTGTGGTCTACGGACCGATCGAAGGACGCCCGCGAAGAATTCTCGAAAAATCGAAACGTTTAACGTTTCGTGTGGTTATAGTAATTAATCAAACAACATTTTCTTCTTTATTGTTCTCGAAATTTGCGCGTCTCAAAATCTCTACGTTGATTTTCACCGATTATCTCGGCTTGTTAATATTGTAGAGTAATCCAATTTTAGCGTACAAAAGATATCAGAATGGATAATGCATAATGAGTCAAATATTAATATCTAATTACCCCCTTAGCCAAATTTAATATTTATTGGGATTAAATGAAAAAAATTTCCCTGACGAAACACGTGACAAGTTTATGAATGCCATTGAGCCTCAACTTATTTATTCCTTTTTGGGGAATATATAAACTGTCAGTGTATAAACTATTGGAGAAAGACCGTGAGCAATTTAATTTAATTACCACTAAACCGACAATTTATTAATGATTATCAATTGAATCAGTGTAGAATATATACACTAACATCTATTCCTTTTTTATTATTTAGCGGATCTATCGATTTCGTTAACTCGCTTTCCTTCAATAACTGTACAGCTGTTTGTTACAAATTTTATTAACAGCTAGAAGTTATATCAACATGAATTATATTTTCTACTTTTAAATTGAGTACTTAATTTTTCAGTGTAGATCTTACTCGTCGCTTATCAAAAAATAATGATAATATAGTTCTCATAAACTAAACTCTTATTGATATAAAGAAAACGATTTTTTTTATTTATATCATTTTATTTCCTTATACTTTTTGACGATAAATTTAATGGTAGATGCAAGTACTGATTATTAAATTTTTCCTTGAATTTAGTATGCTTAACCTATTGTAATTCAAAACGTATATCCGTCAAAGAATTTCACAAGAATGTTTAAAAAATAAATACATAACAATAACTGTTTTTACTTATAAACTTCCATGTTTTCAGTTAAAAATATAACGTTAAAAGTTTGTTATCAAAACAATATATTCCATAAAAAAGTTTATACTTATAGAAAATTAAAATCATATATTTTTCAAATACATTTCATTTATCTAAAAAATTGATTAGTCTATGTGCTTATGTATCAACGTTAATCATAAAAGTTACCTACACGAGTTTATTTATAATATTAGTAATGTATTGAATTATTTACAAATAAATTATTTATCTGCCATAAAAATTTTAGCTTGTTATAAAAAAAACTTAATTTTAGCTAATCAAGTAAAAAAAAAATGCATAGTTTTTTTAAATCGTCAATTTATTATTATTTTTGTATTATCCATTAATTCATTTTATTTATTTTTTTCATTTTAGCAAAATTTAGACAAAGCTGGAGATCTTTTGGAAGAAGCTGGCCAATGCAGTGGAGGTACCAGTTTAAAAGATTTAGCCAAATCACTCAAACAACATTTGAGGGGATTTAGTGACCGCTTGGAAGAAACGCGAGAAAGACTTGAAGATACATCTCGTTGTTTTTATTTACTCGATAAGGTATACTAGTTTTTATAACACACATTTTTATTGATAATTAATTAAAAGATAAATTTATAGCAATTGATATAAAATTGCATTTTACTATTGACAACTCATCATGACAATAAATAAGCAAAAGTTTTACAGAGTGATATTACATGTCTTGGAATTGCTCGTTGAAGGTTATTTTTATTTATCATGGCTTATGTTAATTGTGTTTAGTAAATAAAAAAATATATATACTGATTGTAATAAAAAAACATATCAAGACACGAAAAATATGTGCTTACTACTACTTACTAAAATATTTAATATACATATACTAATTTTATCAATAGAATGTATACCATTTATTTTTCATTAGCCATTAGCTGTAAAATAAAAACAATTTATTTGAGAACATTTCATTTGTCAAGTATTTCAACAGAAATTGTTGATGATTAAATTATGCTAAAAAAAAAACAAAGAAATTATTCTCTTTGCTTTTAGATAATATAATTTAAGAATAGGTAATCGTTATTATTATTCATGTACTGTCTAAATAATAGTCAAATCTATTATTTACCATATATTTATCTTACCACTGTTTTGAGTGGTGAGATAATTTGTATTTTATAAAAATTAAAAGTATTAATTTTTTTTTCGGTTTAATAAAATAAAATTTTCTTCCTAGGTGCTGTAAATTTAAATAAAATTTTTTAATGAATTAACAGTATATTTTAATTGTGACAATATGTTACAGGCGTACGATTGGGCCCTAGAATGTATGAAGTACATTTCAGAAAAGCACGACACACGTAACGTCAAAGAGTTACGAAGGTACTTAATGGCCCATCCATCTCCAACTGCTCAACATTTTTCGGAGATGATAATGTTGGCAAATAAGCTTAACAACGACAAATTAATCAAACAGTGCAAGGTAATGTTTTTATACTAACGATCATTTATTTAGCTCATTGAAATTGTTAACCTTCTGTTATTTCGGTTACAATAACAGGTGGCAATGGTAAGATGCGAAGAAACCAACGACCAACTGAAGCACCTGTTAGGTCCGGAAACGTTCCCAACCAGCACCCCCCTGCCGTCCCGAAGGACGTCCGCCCCTGAACAACGAATACCGTCAACCGGTAACACTGTTGCAGCGGACAGCCATCAATGCGGCTGGGATGGAGTCGCTGAGGAGAACTGTTACTGCGAATCAGACCGTCTTGCGCTCAGTCACATCCCGTCCGCAAATTGGACTTACAATGACGAAGAAGACGAGGAGAAACTGAGCTGTTCCCATACGACTGAAGGGAGTGAAGGAAATAAAAGGTAAATTTCACTAATTTTGTATTCACAATTCAAAACTAGTTTTTATTTTTATTATATTCAACTGTTGACATTTATAGCAATAATAATTAAGAGTTATGATTATTGTCTTAAAAGTAAAATCATTTAAAGAAACGAGGTCGTTGCTTCTTCATGTTCGGACAACTATTATTATTTATTGAATTTTCGATTTTTATTATTTTGCGTATTTTCATTTGTAGTAATGAAGAAATCGACGAAGCTAACTGTCCGGATCCCGGATGCCTGAGTAAAAATCAGAGTTTACCCCCCCTGTCAGTGAATAGTCATCTTCACCATATGTCCAATTTACAATTAAATATGGATTGCGGTACCCAGACTTTAAAATTACAAAAGTAATTGAAATTTTCACTGTTATACATAATTACATTATATTTACTATAATTTTATTATATATTTACTCAGAACTGTTAAGTTAATTATGAGAGAAATGATACAAACTGAACGCGATTACGTCAAATCACTAGAGTATGTTATAGAAAATTATGTTCCAATGTTGCTCAAGGAAGATATCCCTCAAGCGTTGCGTGGTCAACGTAATGTGATATTTGGAAATATCGAAAAGATCTATGAATTCCACAGTCAGCATTTTCTTAAAGAGCTGGAGAGACATGAGAACTGTCCGCTTAAAGTCGGAGAATCTTTCCTTAAACACGTGAGTTTTATGTTATAAAAACCTTAAATTAGGGAAGCAAGTTGACGAAATTATAATGACGACGTCAGTCCTTGTATCCTACTATCTCGAGATCAATTCTCATACCTCTCGAAACTTGTTGCACCATTTTTACAAACTACTCTTTAAAAATAATAACAGTAATATAAGATAGTTTTCGAGCTATAACAATACTATGTATTGAAAGCTATACTTATTTATTTATTATTATTATTAACATTACTGGTAATAGCCCAAAAAATACAGTATGTATTTGACAGCAAATTACCATGTAAACTTAGTACTAAAGGAAACGATAAAAAAAAAAATAATAATAAATGCAAAACATATTTTAATTAAGACAAGTACAAAATATAAACATGATTAAAACTTAAATCTTAAATAGAATACCTAAATGACTAAATTAAATATGATAAGAGTGCAATAAATCAGGGTCATTATATATTAAATATATAATATAAACTATTATTTTTTATATATAAAAAATAAAAGTTCTTTGATTATATCTTTAACTTGCACATGTATATATTACAGGAAAAAAAGTTTTATCTTTATGCTTTATACAATAAAAACAAACCCAATTCGGACGCGCTTATGTCGGAGTACGGTTCTGCATTCTTCAAAGTAAGATATCTAACTGAATGTTAAATATTGATTGATAGATTGCAATGCTAATACATGTGTACTTTAATCAGGCAAAACAAATTGAACTTCGCGACCGAATGGATTTGGCCAGCTATCTCTTAAAACCCGTACAAAGGATGGGCAAGTATGCCTTACTTTTACAACAACTTATGAAGATGGCGAAAGGCGATACCGAAGACTTACGACAAGCAGAGAGTATGGTCAGGTTCCAGCTGCGACACGGCAACGATCTTTTGGCTATGGATTCACTCCGAGAATGTGACGTAAATCTAAAAGAGCAAGGTCGACTTTTGCGTCAAAACGAGTTTCTTGTATGGCAAGGCAAAGGTAAAAAATGTCTAAGACAAGTGTTCTTGTTTGAAGAGCTCATACTGTTCAGCAAAGCAAGAAGATTCCCCGACCGAACGGTTAGTGTTACCATTACAGCTGTTGTTACTTGTGCATTATGAATTTTTTTTTGTTATTTAGAATCTGGACTTGTACGTTTATAAGAACAGTATTAAAACGAGCGATATTGGGTTTACCGCAAAAGTCGGTGACAGTAACACCAAATTTGAAATTTGGTTCAGAAAACGTAAACCAGGTGATACATATACTTTAGTATCTATGTCTGAAGATATAAAACAAGCGTGGACTGACGAATTATCCAATTTATTATGGAAACAAGCCCTAAGAAATAGAGGTACATAACTTTTTTTTTTGTTTTTACTGATTTTACATACTTTGTTTATGATTTACAGAAGCAAGGCTGGCGGAGATGTCATCAATGGGTATTGGCAACAAACCATGTTTGGACATTCGGCCTAGTGCAGACCAGATCAATGACCGATCCATTACTTTTGCGCAGCTCAGTAAAAGTGAGTATTAGTTATACAATAGCAAAAAAGTTGATGACGTTAATTAACAAACTTTATTTTTTAGCTGCCCCAAGATTTCGTAATTCGATTGTAGCCTTACCCACTGACTTGGAGCCAAACACAAAAAGACCACACTCTATTATTTCAATGAGTAGTAGTAGTTCGAGTAGCAACAGTAGTGGTGATAGCAGTAGTGCAAGTTGTCGAAGTAGTGAAGGTGCCAGGCAAACTAGCCAATGTTCAAGTCAATCAACTGAGAGTGGTATAGTTGCTGATTGGTATAGTCGCAATAGCCATTCAGGTAGCATTGCTTCAGACACTTTACCTCCCAACAAAGGACAAGTTACAACTACCGCTTCAGATACAGCAGCTCCAAGGCTGTCAGTGAAACTGTAAATAACAGTCCGGCTTTCATAATTGACCGCAAACAGGTTTATTTTATAATTATTCCCAAAGGAAATCAATAGTTACCGGATTCATCCACAAATTTTATTTTCTTATAGATATTCTATGGGAAATTTCATTGTTATTATTATATATACTTTTTTTTAACAAAACACATTTGAAATCTATAGTTATTAGTCTAATTTATGATACTTAGGTACCTTTTTTTTAAGATTTAATCTAAGATATTTATTGTTATTAATATTAGTGGTACAAGATTAAACTATGTAGTTTTGAGAGTACAATTCATTCCAAAACTAATAATTATTGTATTAAAGAAATTTTAGACTATGCCTAATAATTCTATAAAAGATCTCTTTCGACATTTCTTACTTAATCTATCCTAAAATGAACGTTGTGTATTTTCACCTAACATTTTTAATAATATATAAATTTTAAATTATTGAAATTTTCAATTATAGTTTCTTTTCATATAAAACTTTTTTAATCACAGAAAACATTTTAAGACGCATATTTAATTTTTGTATATACTTATACTAGATTACATTAATATTAAATAATGTTTGATAGGATTATAAATAATTTAAAATGTATTTTAATGGTCATTGATGGAATATTAAGCTACTTAGATTTTAATCAAAACAATGTGAATAACATACATTAGTATAATGATTGATAACCAATATAGAAACTTATTATTCCACCGTTGACTCTTTTTTTTTTTTTAAGACATTTTAAATAATTTAAAATCATTTTTTTTTAATATTAATGTAACCTAAATATAACTAGTATACAATTTATATGTAAGTATTTATTGAGTAATAGTAATATATATACATATAATTTATGTATAATTTTTTTTTTTTAATGTGTAATGAAAATTAAGTGAAAACAACATTTATATATTAATTTATGTTAAATAGTACAAACTAACATGATATCATAGTAAAATTTATTCACATATAATTCCTATCTGTTAATTATAAATTGTAAGTATATGCTTATCAGCTTATAAAAGTTAATCACCAAAGTACAGTTGAAAAAAATTGTAAAAAAAATATCTTCGAGTGTATTAATGCATTTATCTTATAAATATAATGCATATTTTTTTTTTTTTTTTGTAATGTAATTTAAATATTTTAAAGTATTAGAATAATCTATCGATTTTATTCAATTGTTCAAATAACATTAGTTAGGCTTATTAAAGAACTGATTTTACAGGGTGTCATGGTTTTATATGCCGACTTTTTTACTCTCTGTTCAATATTAATAGAAATTTGAAGTAATATTTTGTGATGTTAAAAGTGCCTTAAAAAATTAATTATTTTAAGACTTAAATACATCAATGTCTGAATTTAATAATAGTTTTACTTATTATGGTTTATATTTCTTTTTGTAAGTATAATATATTTAGAAATGACATTATTTTGTCAAGAATAAAATAGTATAAATCTATTTGTACCAAAATATAACACTTAAGCTTTGTATTTATATTTATGTTTTTTAATATTATAAAAATATTTTTGTCAAGTTCCAGTTTCAATCAAAATCATTTATAATTTTTTAAAGATTGTTTTGAAATTAATTTTTTTTTAATATAAGAATGTCAATTCGTTTAACATTTATCCTGGTTGTTGATTATTTTTAATTCTTAAGTTTATATCTAACTAAATTTTATGTGATCTAAAAATTATTTACATTTAGACTTATTTATACTATTCAATTTTTTTTTTATTATTATTTAGCAAGAACATTATAGTAAATACAAATAAATATATGGTCGAATTATTATAGAAATCAAGTGTATCATACAAGCAGAACGACACTACAAATAAAATTAGCATTGATAATATATATCTATATGTTATCATCCAAAAAATTAAAGTGGATATCTGTATTAGGGGTTTTTAAGAAGAAGGTAGAACTATACTTTATTGGTTTTTTGTGATAAATGTTTAAATCTAGTACAAAGAATCTATAAGGAAATTGTATGTGTTCAATTGTTTTGTGAAGGTGTTTAGACGTCTCCTTTTCAATTTTCATGTATCACCAATATTACTCGGTTCCAACAATTATGTTACTTGTCAACGATTTTCTTGAGTTCCTTGTTTTTAAAATACTTACATTGATATGTAATACTATACCAACAAGACAACTTTTACCACAATTACTTCGTTTTTCAAAATTATTAGAAATATTTTTAAAACTTATCATAGCCTGCATTAAATGTATTACGTTTAATTTCAAACAGATTTAGAACAAACATCAACAGCGTATTCAGAATGTCTTCACGGAATAGTTCCATATAAAAAATAATTTTACTACTCTATTCTAATTGTATCTTAAACATATATAATTTTCATCGTAGAGTAACATCTTGTCTTGTGTTCGCAATTGATTTCAAGATTGTGATCACTATTTGTAATAAATCTGAATCATTTGCTTATGCCTCCCTAAGTACTAAATCGGGCTATATCCAGTGTATAATATAACTTATTTTAAACAAATTTGTAATATTAGTTTTAATTAATACAAATATATTTTCTCTTCCATTTATATAATGTTCTGGAATAAGTAAGAAAACGGGTTTCTATTGTACTCGCTGTTTGCAACAATTAACCCGTTTCGCTACTTATAGTAGTAATTAAAATATTTTACATAATTTTTATTCATTTTAAATCAGGTAATAATCAGTTTCACACTTATGAAACAATCTGTATATAAATAATTCAAATTCAATGTTAATAAAACACTTAGTATATTAAAAATTATTTATATAACGCTAATAGAGAAAAATAATAGAGCCTAGTGCACTTATAAGTCTTAAAAAACAATCCGCTTTAGTACAAATATATTTGAAGCAATATGAAACAACAATGATACAATAAATAAATAATTATTCAAAAGCGCAACAAATTAAAAACAGCATAATAAGGTCGCAGCATAGTTGGGACAAGCATGGATGATATCCGAATGTAATTAACATCAGTATCATACAAAATGCATTGATGCGAAACTGTTAAATTTTATAAGTTTTACGCTTTAACACATCATAGAAATAAAAAATTCGTTTAATTAATTATTTATAAAAANAAGCGCAACGAATTAAAAACACCATAATAAGGTCGCAGCATAGTTGGGACAAGCATGGATGATATCCGAATGTAATTAACATCAGTATCATACAAAAGGCTTTGTTGCGAAACTGTTAAATTTTATAAGTTTTACGCTTTAACACATCATAGAAATAAAAAATTCGTTTAATTAATTATTTATAAAAAAAATTTTTTTTTTAGTTTGTGATTTTTTTTATTTGACGGCTGATTTATTTTTACATGCGTGAATGATCTCTTTCAAACCTATACTTAGATTTTTCATAGGAATTGCCTTCAAACGATACCAAAAGAAAACATATTATCTCTAGTTTATTATGCTAAAATTTTATATTTTTGTATCTTTGAAGGAGTAACAAAATAACAAAATAGAATAAAAATTAAGAATTTTCACAAACATTTTGTGATTTTTGGCTTTAAAGTCAAATAACTCACATAAAAATATAGTGGAAACGTTTTTTTTTTCACTATAAAGTACTCTCGCGAATTTTTAATTTAATATAGAATTTTTATAATATCATTATAAAATAATAATAATCATAATCATAAGATTTTTTTTTACTTTGACGGGTGTTTTTTCATAGTAGAACTATAGTAGGAGGGATTTTTTTTTAACTATTTTAGTACACTTCAAATGCTTTAATTTGATATAGGTTAAGCTGTTACACATTCCAAAAAATGTTCAAAAATTAAATTGAAAAAAAACATTTTATGTGCTTAGGTGGTCTTTTTCATAGCCGTTCTGTACATATAATATTCATAGAATGACCATAGAAAACATACTCGAAGATAAATTATTATCTCTAATACATCCTATTAAAATTTCATTAGAATTATAATCTTAATCAAAGTTATAGCAGCTTTAAAACGCAGAAAAAAATATTAGTAATGAAATTTTTTAACGTATTTTGAAATATTTTATTAAAATTCTAAAATTTTTACTTTTGGTAACGACAAGATTAAAATCGAGTTCTTTTGTCGCATTAATCATTAAAATAGATCCAATGAGAACTAATCAATTTTATTGACAAACAATAAAAGACACACGCCGTCACAAAATTAATACATACACAAATTCGCATCTAAGCTAAAACAATAAAAGTTTACTAAAAAGCATTTGAGTCGAAAAGTGACTCTATTTTTAATATTTTTGCATTTCCAAGTTTTCTTAAAAATGTTGTATGTTTATGAATTCTTTATTTAGAAACATTTCTATGGTCTCATTATTTTTAAATTTCTATGGTTTCTTACAATTTTTGCATTTTTAAGGCTTCTTATTTTTGAAAATTTCTATGGCTTCTCAATTTTTGCATTTTTAAGGCTACTCATTTTTTTAAATTTCTATGGCTTCTCGATTATTAATTTTTTATGGCTTCCTATTTTTTTTTTTTTTTATAGCTTCTGAATTTTTACATTTCTATGGCTTCTTTATGTTTTATTTAATATTTTCTTAATATTTTATTCTAATCCTCTAAATTTTAATTTTTTTTCATGCATCTTTCTAAATGGACTATTAATTAAAAACATTTTTTATTTAAGTACTATGCACATTATTAATATTATTATAATCATGATATAATATTATTTCAGTAAATTAGTAGTCATAATAAAAATTTTTATGTTAGATAATTTTATACTTCATAATATTTATTATTATTATTATTATAATTAATCCAATCAAATATTATCTCATTATATAATACAATTTTAAATATAAAATACTTTTTTGAAAAAATTTCCATTTTTTTTTTCATTTTCCTTAATTGTAATTGAAAGGGTTACTTAATGCAAAATATTACTTTTATATTTTTTTAGAAAAATTAAAATTGAAACAATTTTAGTTAAATACTACTAAATAATAGTTGTATTATTTAAACAGATAATTGGCGAATACATAAAACGAGCAATTTTTCTAAAATGTTACTTTTATCACGTTTTTGAAAAATTGAAACTTGTGCATAAATATTTAAAAAATTACATAATTTTACATTTTCTTTAAACTTTGATCTATAAATACAGAGTAAAAATAATTTTAATAATTTTTTATTAATTTATTTTAATTCAATGATTCAAATTTCAATTATAAATTTTTATTATGTTTATCCCTTATAGAGATACTATGATTAATTTCTCAAACGGCAACACATCTAATTAACTAGATTATTTAATAGATAATGATTTAATTAAGAAAATTACTGGTTAATAACAATTTGTGGACTAGTGTTTCTGAAGCTATTAACATATCTATGTGAGAGGAAGAGACATTAAATTGTATAAAGGTTGAACATAAAAAAAGTAATAATTGAAAAATTGAGAAAAACATTAAAGAAAAAGAAACAAACGAAAAAAATTGTCAATATTATTTTTTTTTTTCAATTAATTAAGTGGTTCGTAATAACTGAATCACTCTTTGTATATATTGTTACATTACATATAATTTAAATTAATTTTACATATATGATAACGTCAAAAAATAAAATAGCTCAAAAACTAATTAGCAAAAACTTCAATAAAAGCGCAATTTAGTTTAACTACGCTCCTAAAGTAAAATGGATGTAAATAGTTCACTTATTATTTTTCATTGTAAAACTACACATCAAAGCTAAAAATATAGTTTAAAAAAACTAAAAAACACGCTTTTAAAGCACATTGAACTAAAAAGTTCAAAATAAGCTTAAAACAATATTGAACGAAAAGTACTAGAATTATTGTGATAAAAGCGTCGGGCGCTCAATATACGAAAAATATGGCACGAAGCACCCACTCTTTTATCACAATAATTCTAGTACTTTTCGTTCAATATTGTTTTAAGCTTATTTTAAAAATTATTTTGAACTTTTTAGTTCAATGTGCTTTAAAAGCGTGTTTTTTAGTTTTTTTAAACTATATTTATTTTTTACTTTTTAGTTTTATGTTATGATAATAGTTACTATCAATATCATGGTTGTAACGGGTAACGGGAATACAGGGTTCGATTCCGGGGAGAGAGTCTGAGAAACGGCTAGTGACGAAAAATGATACGGGAATCATCCCCCGTAATCGGAATGAATACACCACATATCTCTTAATGAGAATAAAGCGTATTAATATATAAGTTTTAATAGTAATTAGAATATATATACATGTAAAGGGACTTAAGTACGTAAACGTATCATGCATGAGGTATAGCCGTATTTTGTGGGCGGGGGGAACATTATACACGAGGCATATACGGCGGCAGAGGCGTCGGCTGTATGAATATATAAATGAATATTAACATATACGTATAAATATTAATATATATATATGTATATATATATATATTAATATTAGCGGTGGCGGTAGGAATATAATGATCTTCGCATAATATCGCGGCACTTTTGCTGTCGTTGACG